TCGACACCAGCGTAGAAGACCCGCAGCTCCGCTCCCCACTGCACCTGGCGGCCGAGCTCGCCCATGTTGTCATCACGCAACTGCTCCTGTGGGTACGTGAGTAGGGGGTAGGTAAAGGGGTCTTTGAGGATTCCGTCTCTGGAACGTCTGGCGCGGGAGAGCCCCATCTTCCCCAAGGGACCCTGGGGATGGGCTCGGGAATCCGGGAGGCGGCGTGGGGGTGTGGGTCCCCTGGGGAACGCGCTGTCACACGGCCGTTTCCGCCCTCTAGTACGGCGCGGACGTGGCGGCCTGTGACGCGCAGGGCCGCACGGCGCTGTTCTACGCCCGCCAGGCTGGAAGCCAGCTGTGCGCCGACATCCTCCTCCAGCACGGCTGCCCGGGGGAGGGCGGCAGCGCAGCCACCACGCCCAGCGCGGCCACCACCCCCAGCATTACCGCCACGCCCAGCCCCCGCCGCCGGAGCAGTGCCGCCAGCGTGGGCCGCGCCGACGCCCCGGTTGCGCTGGTATAGTTGCCCACCGGGAGAGACACCCCACCCCCACGCGGGCCGGGCACGACCACACCGGGTGGACCGCTGGACAGATGTACCCACCCACCTCTCCAATCCGCACCCTGCCCCACGGCAGCACTTCCTACCCCACGAGGACACAGCCCGCACGCCTCCCAGAAGACACAAACTCACCTCCCTCTCCCCAACGAGGCACGGAGACCCCAGCTCAACACGTCCCCTGTCCACTGTTCCACACTCGGATTGCTCTGGGTCTGCCCGATACGTGTTTGCGGAACGGGACCCCCGCAGCTGTTCGGGCTCCTGGGCGCCTGGAGGTGCTCGCTCGCACCCTCTAGGAGCGGGAAAAAGGCCCAGTCTGGCCTGTGCTCAACAATCCCACGGCGGGAGCCCATACCCAGGCTGGCTCCTGGGGCGACGCCACGCCAGAGGGAGGGGTTAGTACGTAGGTAGGGCTAGCCCTGGGACTTGGGGCCGATTGGGGGACCCCACCCCTTCCATGCTGATCTCACTGCCCAGTAAAGGGGGGAAGGGCAGCGAGGGGCAGGACCCCTGCTGCTTATGGGGGTAGGGGGTCCCCAACCCTTTCCGTGAAAGGGACCATGAGGAGTGGAAATTAGGACGTCCCCCTAACACCTACCCATGGATGGAAGCTAAAGGGCTGGGGGGAGCAAGAGCCTGGGTCCCTCCTCACTACTATCTCTGGAGGGAGAAGGGATGGAGCAGGAGTGGGCTAAGGGAGCTGGGGGGGTCTTGTAATTTATTGCTTTGCTCCCCAACTTGGGGGCGGGGGCGGGCAGGGGCGTGGGGAGGGTGTTTGGGGTAAGGGAAACCAAGGGTGGGCCGGGGGTGGGGTGGGGTGGGGGTGCTCTCGGGTTGTGAGTGTCTGTGACTGTGACTGCGTACCTGTGACTGTGCAGCGCCCGTGGTGACCTGGGGTAGGGGGCACCCCTACAATGGGACCCCTCCCCCATTGTTCTCCCGTCCAGCCCCTCCCTCCCACCGGAGCAGCTCCAGACCCATCCCTCACCCTCATGGTCCCTCCCAGCCAGGGCTGAGAGGATGTGAGGTGACTGGGAGGGTTTCCAGGCTCCCTTCCCCATCCCCAGAAAGGGAGTGGTGGGGTGGACTTACCTGGCCCAGCCCTGCCTCCCTCAATCAACCCAGCTCTTGGGCTGTCTGTGTCAGTGGTTTCCGGTCTTTTTTTTTTTTTCCTGGCTAAAACATTTTGCAAAGGACCAGGTAATTGGGGAGGGGAGTGGGGTGGGGGCAGGGGGGAATGCCCCCCTCATCTCCTCGGAGGCAGGTGGTGTGAATCTTCAACAGCAATTAAAGAGGAAGTGATTTTGTCTAGGGGGTGAGCTGCTGGTCTGTTTTTGAAGAGGCAGGTCAGGGTATGGCCTTGGTCCAGGTGGGGAACTGTGGTGGGAGGGGGCCAGACAGAGGTGCTTCCCACTGGGGCTGGTGGCAGGGCAGTACCCATGGGCACAGAGGTAGTTTCATCGTGTACAACAGTTCTGGGCTCCTGTAGCGGAATGACATGGGCAGGTCGGGGCAACAGTGGGGATCCTGGGAGCAGAGAAGTCACTAACTTCCCAAGAGGACCTGGGTTCTGGGGGAGAGTTGGGGTGTGCTTAGAGGAGAGGGCAGGCCTATGGAGAGGGGTGAGAAGATGGGGTAGCCTTGGTTAAGATCAGGAACTTTGGAGACAGACCTGATTTTGAAACCTGGCCCTCTACTTCATAGCTAGGTGACCTTGGTAGCATCTGTTTGTTTGTATTCTGAGAAATATCTGTTCAGAGGGCACCTGGTAAGTACTCCTGGGGAGGGCTGCCCAGCCAGCCTGCTCACTTTGAGGAGTAGAGGTTATAGTAGGGGCCCCTCCCCTGGCCCCAGTCAGGGGGTGCTCCAGAGGGAAGGGGTGGAAGATCTCCTGGGAAAGATTTCCAAGCTGGCTGCAGAAGTCCCTGGTGTCCACAAACTCTATGCCAGCTGATGCAAGCATTTGCTCACCTCTGTGTCATCGATGGAGCCACCAGGCCACAGCAGCCTGAGGCCAGTGCTGCCTCCAGGAGCTGTAGTACTGTTAGGCTCTGCATGTAGCCACTACCACTATTTCCCCAGTGCAGCTAAAAGTGTTTGCCCTGGTCAAGGGGCTGGGCAGGGTGGTATTGAGTCAGCAGGCAGTGCAGGTTGGGCACAGCCACCACGTGTGTCATCTGCCTCTAGGATGGTAGCCCCAGCTTCTTTGGATAGAGTTGGTTCTGACCCTCAGTGCCCACCAGCCCCAAGATGTTCAGCTGCAGGTGTGCCAGCAAGCTGACACGGTGTGGTCACAGCACTGGGCCCAAGTCCGATTCACATGGAGGCTGCTGCTCTGCATGGTCTGGGCAGGGTGACGACCCAGAATAGCGGCATGACCCAGGGAAAGGTAGATTCAGGGGTGCAGGTGCAGTGACAGGTACAGAAGCAGGGGTGTGTGTGGTCTGGGTAAAGCAAGAGGAAGGGGAGTGGGTGGCAAAGACTGACTAGAGGACCTGGCCATTCCCCCTTCAGCTCAGAGACTAGGGACTCCCTCACTGCATCTCCACTCCTCAGAAACCTGGAGTCTGAGAGAATACAGGGAGGAAACAAAAACCCTGGAGAGAATGAAATTCCCTGCAAAGGAAACTGCAGGCCAGCAGGAAGTTCCTTTCATTTCCAGCCAGTGAAAAATGGTCAAACTGTCAGTGATCCCCACAGCAAACCCAACAACAAGTAATCCACTTGATTCTTTTTTTAATGGGGTCTTTTCTTTGGTCTTGTGGGGAGCTGTAAAGGGTGGTAGTGGATGGAGTGACAAAACATGGAGTCCTTCAGGTTATGGCCAAATAGGACCCTAGAAGGGTACTTGCTGGGTGGCTGAAGGACCTGCTGCCCCTTTACACCCTCACCACCACCACAGCTCACCCTGGGCTCCTGGCTGTGTCCCTGTCGCCATCCACCAGCCCTCTCCCCACCCCTTCCTGGTTGCCATCTGCCACATACCCCATTCCCCTCCTTTTATTGGCTCTAGCACAGCTGGGGCAAACTGACCTTCTCCATGGGAGTTTTGCTAAAAGCCAAAGGGAAGTCAAAGGAGTTACTGAAAGTACAAAATGATTAATATTGTGAGGTTCTAGAACTCAGCTTTCTGATGATGCTAAGACTCCATCCCAATCAAATCAGATACCCCCTTCTGCTCCAGCCTCTCATCCTTGCCATTCTAAAAAATTCTACTGGAGCTTCTGATCACTTTTGGGATTCTCTTGCCGCCAAGTAATCTAGGCTCTTCAGAATGCAGGAGCTAGTTCATAATAATAAAGTCAGTGAGCACTTACTGTGGGCCGGGTGCTGTGCCACACTTTCCCCTTCAATCCTCACAACCACCTTCCTGTTATCCATGATCTACCAATGAGGAAACAGCATTCAAAGTTAAATAACTTGTTCCAGGCCCCTCTGATGGTAGATGAAGGGGTGAAGATTTGGACCTAGCATTCTGACTACAGCTGCCCTCAAGACAGTTTCTAAGCTCTTGCCCAGTTAAAGTATCCCTCCCCCAAGATACACAAATGGATCTGGGGAGGCAGGATTTTTAAGTCTACCATTTACATTTCAAAAGAAAACAATTTAAGCATAACATGCACAATAAACACCAGTCCACCACATTCAGCAGGAAGAGGGTCAGTCTCACATAAATTCCTTCGACAACAATTGAATCTCTCACTTTCCACTTTTAGAGGCCTGGGAGTTCCACGCCCTCTGTCCCTTTTCTTATCTTGTGAGCCAGTGGAGAGTCTTCAGCAGAAAGGCTGTAGCCCTCCGGGATAGGGAGCCAGAGGAGACAGCCTTGGCCCCTTTCTGCCTTTAGAGTCCTCTGCACTGGGAGGAGGGACATGGCGGGACCCACACTGCACTTGACAATGAGGAAGAGACAGAGACACCAGCCCACCCACGCTTGGCATACTCAGGAGCTGGCACATGTGGGCAGCAGCCCTCTCTGGGAATGGTCAAAGGTGGAGCCCCTCTAGGAAATGATGAATGGACAGAGGGGTGTGGGGTGTGGGTGGCAAATGGAATCTGGAGAACGCTGCAGGAGGGGGTTCAGCAGGAGGGAGATCCGAGTGTCAGGGGGTAACTGTGGTGGGCATTTTGGTTTTCAGGATATAAACGGGGAGAAGATAGGGAAGGAATTGGTGCTAAAGAAGGGAAGGAACAGAAGAAAAGAGATGAGGAAAAGGAGGGATGACAGTACTTCAAGTGTCTCTTTCAATCCTAGCCAGGCTAGTTGGCTTTGCTTAGCTGTCCTGGTCTCTCCTGTATACCCTGTCCCCCACTGATACCACCTGGAAGGTATGAAGCAAGGAACAGGATCAGAGAAGGTGCCCTCCACCCTGAAAAGAACACCAAGCCTCCTCCCTGCTTGAGCCCCCACCCGACCTACGCTCTCCGCCAAAAAAAGGTTGATGGATTGATGGTCCGGTTCTTTATTTTGAAACCTGATTGTTCAAGAACATGGTGGGTTCTGTACCCCACCTTTTTCACTGGGATTGTGTTGGAGGTGATGGGCAACATTCTCCCATTTCCTCAGCAACAGAGGTGAAAGCTCCTCAACTCAGAAGCACAGATTGTAGGGGACAGTGTGGACAGGGAAGGGGAGAAGGAAATCCCAAGGCAATCCAAGGGAAGGGGGTGAAGTGACTCCACACAGCAACGGGGGCGGGAATTGAAGCCATCTGCTTTCTGCGGGCCTGCCAAACTGTCCTACTGTCTGTGCTCTCTCTACCCTACTCCACTCAAAAGACCTGACCGAATCTCTAGGTGGGAAGAAGGAAAGAATCCTATCCTATTGTTAGGGGATGATGACAGGAAAAGCCAAGGAGGAAAGCAAGGGGAATGGGGAAGAGCCCGGGAGAGCAAAACTCCCAGGCCTGGTGAGGCTGGAGGGCAGCAGCACTCACCCCATGGCCCTCCACACCCCCAGAGCTGGGGCCACCAGGTCCACAGCCCAGCTCTGCCCTGCTGTTTGCCTTCAGTGGTCCTAGGGGTGGGGAGGTGTGGGGGAGGCAGGCCAGTCTAGGAAGACTCTAGACTCCTTGGAGGGCCAATTGCAGTGGAGGTCTCAGAAGTCAAACTCATCCAGGTCCCCCGTGCCCTCCCCGCCTTGAGAGCCCCACACCCGGCGGTAATTGCTCTCCAGCTCTTTCTGCCTCTGGCGCTCCTTCTGGGCCTCTTCAGCTCCCTGCACCTGAGGGGAGAGCAGGGTGGGCTGGAGTGGCTGACTGTCAAGCCAAGGGAAGCAGTGGGTACTGAGGTTCCAGGGAAGTCCTGGGACTGGCAGCAGCCGGGGTTGGGGGTGGGGGGTGGGGGTAGGGCTCTGCTTGAGGGGCAGCACACTGAGCCACCAGAACCCTGGCCTCGGCTTCCAGAAGAGTAAATTGAAGCTCAGCCACTGGCAAGGCTGGGACACGGCTGTGTGCCCCCTTTTACACTATGCTTGAGATACCACAGCGGGCTGGGAGGGGGAGGGCTGGAGGGCCAGGACTGGGTGGAGGGGAGGCCTCTCACCAAGATATTGAAGAAGATCTCCTTGAGGCTTTTTGTGTCCTCATCAGTCAGCCAACGTGCATCTTCTTCGGTTCCTTCAGCCCCTGGCCGGACAATTTTGATCTCAATCTTCCCTGGAAAGGAGCAGTGTGGCAGTGAGAGGATAGGATGGCTGGGAGCCTCAGGGCAGGCCCCTTGCCCCCCAGGTCCCCAGCCCCTCCACTGCCGGTGGCAAGCCCTTCCAACAGCGCCGAGACCAGCGCCCTCCAGGGCCCACCTTCAGCTGTGAGTCCCTCCCTCTCCAGCAGCTCCTTCACCAGCCCCTCGATTTGTTTCAGCTGTGGGTTTTCCCGTTTCATCTCGAGGACAGTCAGATCCTGATTGGGGCCTCCGTGACGGAGCTTGGTGACCCGGACCCGGACTCTGTGCTCAGGATCCTCCTCTTAGAGGGGGAGACACATAGGGAGACACAAAGCACAGCCGTGACTCCAGGGTTAGGGGCCGTAGTGGTCACCTCTCCCTAAGCCATCAATTGGTTTGGCAGCTATTCTATCTCACACGTATATGAGCCAGGGCTCAAAAAGATGTGCACTCTCCCCGCTTCTAATTGCAGTCTATAGCACTCCCTCCACCAATTGCAGGCTTCCTTCTCCCCCCTACCCAATAATTCTGCCCATCACCTACAGGAAAACAACTGTGTTTTCTGAAACAAAAATCAGGACACCTGCACCAACAAAGAAGTTTTAAGAAGCGGGTTGGAAAACTGTGGTCTGGTCCTCCACATGTTGGTAGTTCAAAGACGTTTCAATGTTTAGAGAGGGAGAAAGAGAGAGACAGAAGATTTGATGCCGGAACATTCCATTTGGAATGTCTGATCTCCACACCCACAGAACTCCGTGGAATGGACAAAAAGAGGTACAAGAAGGAATAGAATCTATCCAGGCTATTGGCTCATGTGCAGCTGGGCTGGCCTATTCATACCCTGACAGCTGGGGCCTCTCCCAGTGCAAAGTCATAATTGTTGGCAGGTTGCACCTTCACAGATGTGTGATTTTCAGCATACAGGCTCATAGTTGTTCAGTTAGTATTTGTTGATCACCCACTATGTGCCAGGCAGAGTGCTAGGCACTGGGTGTGTGGGAGCAAACCAGGAAACAAGACAGACATGATCTAAAAGCTGCTTTCCAAAAGGATGAGTAAGAGGGAACCATGCCGAGGGATGAAAGTGGTGGGAAGAAGGCAAGAGTGAGAACGGTGCCCAGAGAGAGGGCAGAGGATGTGTACTCTCAGCAGGGAAAGGACGCGGTGCCCTCTGGGAACAAGACCAGCTGAGGGGTGAAGACAACCGACTGGCTGTTCCTCCTCATCTGATGCTCTCACCTGTAGGTTGGGGTGATGGGGGAGGCTTTTTGGGGACAACTCTTCTTTTCTTGTGCTTCTTCACCAGCTCTGGACTCTGTTTTTCCTCCAGCCTTTTGATGAGTTTGTTGAGAGTGGATGTCAGAGCCAGCATTGCCCGATCACGCTCCGACTCCTTCTTCAGCCCGTCTGGGTCCAGCTCCTTCTCTGTCTGGAATATCCAAGAGAGGGTGCAGGGTCAAGGGTGTGAGGAGTGGGGAAGGCTAGTGGGCCATGCTTAGAGGAGAGTCTAATATTTAAGTCCCATCCCTCTCTCTGATCCCCCTTCCCCTCCAACCCCCTTTTAAGTAAGGAAGCAACTACCATTTCGGAGTGCCCTGTCCTATGCCCAGGCCGTGCTGGGTGCCACCCTTTGTTCTCCTTTAGCCCCTTGGCCACCCTGCCCGTGGGAGCAGGAGCTGTGGGAGCGGCAGGCGTAAATGCTGGGCTTGCCTCCTGGATGATGTTCTCCAGCTCCCGCTCCATGCCAGCCTTCACCTCTGAACGGAGCCGGTCTCGGTCTGATGGCAGCAGTATCCCTTCCAGTTCCTTCTCAAATTCTCCCAGTAACTGCCGTTCATCCTCATCTTCATCTTCATCCTCCTCATCATCCTCTTCTTCTGCCTCACTCTGATGCTCTCCATCACTCTTTTCCTTCACCTCTGGTTCCCTCTGAGGGACTTCTGTAGCATCATCTGCAGGCTGGTCCTGGCCCGCATTTGGCTTCCCCTGGGTGGGTGGGGATTATTGGGGAGAAAGAGGTAGATGGTTAGGGTTTCAGCAGAGACACATGGTGGGGGCAGACAGAACAGTGGCAGGAGTGTGTGGTAGCAGGGGGACTCAGGAGGAGTGATGGAAGGGAGTCGGCTCTACTGGACCTAGGTCAGGCCCAGGTCAGGGTGGTTCCTCAAATGCTGCCAGCTAGGAGGCAGTTTCCACCCCTCCCTTGAGCTGGGCCCATACCTTTTTTGTTCCACCTTTCAGCTCCTCTATCAATCGAATCAAATCCGCAGGACTCCGAATGACCTTGACCTGCACGTTGTTCTGAAAATCTGAAATGAATAATCATGGACCTGTTGTGTTCTAAATTCTCTTTTGATTCCTAAGGAGAGGCAATGAGAGACCAAGGAAGGACATGGTCCCTGCCTCTTGGAACTGGTCAGTGAGTCAGGCACAAGAATATTCCTGCAGAGAGCACTGTGCTACGGTGGACATGCAGGTGGGAGAGAGGGACACTATCAAGCTAAGCCCCCTGCTCTTCCATGCACTCCTGAGGCCCTTCCGGCAATCACTACAGTTTTTAGGACAACAGAGGAGATTGTGGTGCCAAGGGCTCTTCTTACCTGGATCCAGTTCTCCTTTTCCTACGAATATTAACCATTCATTATCTACTCAGTTTCAGGCATTCTGCTATGAATTATAGATTCATCCTCATTTAAGCTCATAACTCTCTAGGTAGGGGTTATTACTCACATGGGTAAGGAAATTGAGGTTAAGTGCAATTGTCCAGGATAACAAAGTCAGCAAGTGGTGGAGACAGTATGTTTTGCTACCTCCCCAAAATAGCATTATTGTCTACAGAAAGCATTAACTCCTGTAAAAATGAATTTACTGCTGGCCTGTCTGCCCACCCTCCCTCCTAGTGTCTAGCTCTACCCTCCACCCCACCCCTGCCAATCCTAAAACACACTCAGTGAAGGAGACGTGGAGGGTGGCCTCACCATTGGGAGAGCCTGGAGCTGGATCTGCTGCCTCAGGGTTTGGGTCCTGCTCCTGATGAGGAGAAAAGACCAGAATCAAGTATGACAGCTTGTTTATGGCCACCACACTCTTAAGGCAATGGTTCTGGGGATGTCCCTGCATTCCCACATTGATGGAGGTCATCTCATAATGAGATGAGATGGGTCAGCTCCAGTGACCCTTCCCATGCCAAAGCCCAGGTGCAGCCTCATCAGAGAAGCAGGTGGGACACTGGTTCTCACCTCAGCCTGCACCTCCTCTCCCTCTGTGGCCTGGTCTTCTGGCTCGTGAAGCATCTTCCAGAAATCCGATTCCTTACTGTCATCCTTGCTTGGGCTTGCACCTGGGGTACAGAGCACAGGGAGAGATCTGAAAGGAGGGGAGAAACGAAAAGGAGCAAATAGGATGGGGTATGTTCCCCTCCTCTACTACCATGGGATTAGGGTCCACGGTACTTCTCCACCCCACCCCATTCTTCCCTTCCCCTGCACAGGACAATCAGATCAGGGGAAGGGGAGAAATAGAGATAAGTTTCATGGCACAGATGAAACAAGGTCCTACCTGTTCTCTTTGGGGGTACTGCCCCAGACTTGGTCTCACTCCACATTTGGGGGTCCAGATCTTGCAGCTCCTCTATGATTTTATCTCCATACTGCTTTGAGTCTACTGAAAATGGCATGCAAGCAGGCTAAGAACACATTTCTCTGGGCTATTCACTCACTACTTCATCTTCAGCCTGCCCCTGCCCATATCCTCCTTCCTCTCTTCCTCTTCTAATTACTCACCAGCTTGCCTCTGAATGTAGGCCATATACTCCTCAGGCTGCAGGGAAGGGTGACAGAGAATGGCCTGGGGAGTGGCACTGGGTGGGGGACGAAGGAGAGGGTGGGGGCAGAGCCGAGAAGTCCGAATGGTCAGCACGTAAGAACAGGACAAGGGCTCATCCACACGATCAATGTAGTCCCCAGAAATACCTGCACCTTCGTCACAGAGGAACTGCCAGGAAAAAACAGTGGATATGTTGTAACGATCACCAATAATTAGTTTTAGTTCTTAGAGTAGCTATCTTTTACTAAGCACTTATTATGTTCAGGCACTGTGCATACATTGTGTCTGTGGCAATTTACATACTTTAGCTCAGTTATCACAAAAACCCAGTGAGGGAGGTATTGGTATCTAAACTTTGTGGCTCAAGAAATTCAGGTTTGGGCTGGGCATGGTGGCTCACGCCTGTAATCCTAGCACTCTGGGAGGCCGAGGCAGGAGGATTGCTTGAGCTCAGGAGTTTGAGACCAGACTGGGCAAGAATAAGACCCCATCTCTACCAAAAATAGAAAAAAAAAAAAGAAACAACAACAAAAAAAGAAACTGAGGTTTGATGCAGGTACTTGTTCAGGCTGACCAGCTGATAAGTGGCAAAAACAGGAATTGAATTCAGGCAGTTCAACTATAGGTAACCAGATAATTTTTGTTTCACATTCTTGCTTTATATAAATGTGGTGTACATATATATTTATAAATATTTGCTTTATATATTCTTTTTTGTGTACATATGTATGTATATGTATTTTAAAATATGTGCATATGCTAAAGACTTCGGGTAGTTCTAACATTCTTATGTCATTCAGAAAGAGTAAAGATACTGACTAATGTTGCCCTTTGATAAATCAAGCATTCACCACTGTAATCACTTTTTTTTTAAGAGAGGGTGTCGCTCTGTTACCTGGGCTAGAGTGCAGTGGCATCATCATAGCTCACAGCAACCTCCAATTCCTGGGCTCAAGCGATCCTCCTGCCTCAGCCTCCACCATGCCAAACTAATTTTTTTATTTCTTGTAGAGATGGGGTCTCACTATTGCCCAGGCTCGTCCCAAACTCCTGGACTCAAGCAATCCTCCTGCCCGGGCCACCCAAAGTGCTAGGATTACAGGCATGAGCCACTGCACCCGGCCCACCATTGTAATTTCTAAAGTAACTACTAAAAGTAAAAGCAAGAGAGGTCCTGCTTCTGAAATGGCAGCATAAGGGACTTTGTGGACCCACTCCCTAGTCAAACTCCATAACTGGTGGAAATTTAAAAAACAAAACATTTAAACTCTTTGGAAATTTTCCTAAACACATACAACAAATGAAGAAAAGTTTATTTAAGAAAATCCCCCCCCCCCAAAAAAAGAAAATCCACTAAATCTTGAACAGTGAGAGTTTGTGGCACTTGAGTCATGACCTGCTCCCTCACTCTATGCCCATCACCCCCCAATCCCCACCCCATAGCTCAGTTTGACAGAAGCTCCACTCTGGGTGAGTATGGTCAAAAAAAATGGGAGGGGGCTTCCTATTCCCTCAACATCCAGTCACAGGATATAGTATTTCACTGGGAGTAGCAGGCCACCAATATTTCTCAACCCCTCCCCAGCTCCAAGGTGCAAAGACTAAATTTCTGGAAAATGTGGTCAAGAGAACAGGGCTCCCTTATTCCACCCAGCCCCATTCATGGGGCAGAGGCTTTACTTCAAGTGCATAGGACAAGCATACTGGGACCCTGATTGACCTCACCCGAGCTTGCTTATGGGGTGGAGGTTTCACAAAAGGAGGTATAAACTGAGAAGACCAGAGGCTATCATCCCTGCCCAGCTCCCCGCTCATAAAGCAGGAATGTTGCTCCAGGAGAAGTAAACCACTGTCCCTGACACCAGCTCCGGAGCAGGGTCTCAGAGATTTTGTCTGGGGGAGAGGCAGTCCATAAGAAGAGAGCTCCAAAACTCTCTCCAAAGGACCTAACTTTATGTGAAACAGAGTATGGGGAAGTTCAAGCCTAAGGGTACTCTCAAAAAAATGGAGATTTTGGTAGGAAGCAATTAAGAGGAGGCTGGTTGCTCCATTAGTGCAACAAGCTAAACCGTAGGTCAGCTAATTTAACAGGGAGAACCAAGGAAAGATAGCAACTACGAGCCCTCCTAGATCAGAACAAACCTAAAATATTTGCCTCAAAAATTACCCCTACAAAGGGGTCCACATTTACTTGGATCAGACTATGGAACAACTTATGCCCCACATGTCAGAAACAATAAAGCAGTCAGCTGGCAATTAGTGGTGCCTAACAGCCGCGGATGACACCAGCAGAGGCAGACAGTTTAAAAGATTACCAAAAGAAACACTCAAAAAGAGCTCTGCTGAAACCACTGTCATCTAGGGTGACTGCGTGCACGGCCCCAACTGTGCCCTTAGAGGAGAGACACCAGAGACTTCATATTGCAGAGGAGAGACTTCACTAAAGTAGTCCAGCCAAGTCATTGAACAAATAAACAAGGCAACAACAAAGTCATGCTGTGGGGTAAAGGGCAGGAATCAGTATCTGGAGCAGCTATAATAAATATATAACCTAAAATGTCCAGTTTTCAACAAAAAAATAATGACACACATATAGAAACAGCAAAGTGTGACACATATGTAGAAAACAAATACAGGTAACAGAAATTACTTCTGAGAGGGCCCAGATGTTGGACTTCACAAAGACTTAAAAGTAGCCATTACAAATATGTTCACAGAATTAAGAATTAAAATCACTAATGATTAAAATCATTAAAAGTGTGTTCTCTGACCACAATGAGATGAAATTATAAATAAATAACAAAGAAATCTTGGAAATTCACAAATATGTAGAAATTACACTAAATACTTCTAAGTAACCAATGGATCAAAGAAAAAAAACACAGAAAATTAGAAAATACCTCAAAATGAATGAAAATGAAAACACAATATATCAAAACTTATAGGATGCAGCTGAAGCAGTGCTTGGTGGGAAATTTACAGCTGTAAACAAAAACATTTTTTAAAAAGAAATCTCAAATCCATAACCTAGACTTCCACCTTGAAAAACTAGAAAAAGAAGAACGAAACCAAGAGCAAGCAGAGGAAAGGAAATAATAAAGATTAAAACAGAAATAAATGAAATAGAGAACAGGAAAACAATAGAGAAAATTAAGAGTTACTTTATTTTTAATTATTATGCATACATTGTAGTTGTACTTATTTATGGGATACATGAGATATTTTGATACAAGCATACACTGTGTAATGATCAAATCAGGATAACTGGAAGAGTTGATTTTTTTTTTTTTTTTTTTTGAGACAGAGTCTCACTCTTTTCGTCAGCCTAGCTCACAGCAACCTCAAACTCCTGGGCTCAAGCGATCCTCCTGTCTCAGCCTCCCGAATAGCTGGGACTACAGGCATGCGCCACCATGCCCGGCTAATTTTTTCTATATATTTTTAGTTGTCCAATTAATTTCTTTCTATTTTTTAGTAGAGATGGGGTCTCGCTCTTGCTCAGGCTGGTTTCGAACTCCTGAGCTCAAACAATCCGCCCGCCTCGGCCTCCCAGAGAACTAGAATTACAGGCGTGAGCCACCGCGCCCGGCCAGAGAGTTGATTTTTGAATCAACAAAAGTGACAAAACTTTAGCTAGACCAACCAAGAAAAAATAGAGATTTAAATTAGTACAATCTAGAATGAGAGAATTAACCTTCTATTCTATTCTATTCACTTCTATTAACCTTACAGAAACAAAAAGGATCATAAATGAGTACTATTCACACTTATATGCCAGGAAATCAGATAACTTCAACAAAATGGACAAATTCCTAGAGAGACACAAACTACCAAAACTGATACAAGAAGAAAAGTAAAGCGACAGAATTAGTAATAAAAAGTTAGACACTGAGGCCAGATGGGTCCACTGGTGAATTCTACCAAACATTTAAAAATAATAAATACCGCTGGGCACGATGCTCCAGCCTGTAATCCTAGCACTCCGGGGGACTGAGATGGGAGGATCCCTTGAGCTCAGGAGTTCAAGACCAGCTTGAGCACGAGCAAGACCCCGTCTCTATTAAAAATAGAAAAATTAGCCAGGCATTGTGGTGTACTCCTATAGTCCCAGCTACTTGGGAGGCTGAGGCAAGAGAATCACTTGAACCCAGGAGTTTGAGGTCGCAGTGAGCTATGATCACGCCACTGCTCTCTACCGAGGGCGACAGAGTGAGACTCTGTCTCAAAAATAACTAACTAACTAAATAAATACCATTTCTTCATAAGCTTTTCCAAAAAATAGAAGAGGAGGTAATACTCTCCAACTCATTCCATGAGGCCAGTATTATTACCCTGATATCAAATCCAGACAAAGACATCACAAGAAAAGAAAACCTCAGACCAATATCGCTTATGAATTGAGACCCCAAAAATCTTCCACTGAATTCAGCAATGTGTTAAAAAGATTATATACTATGACCAACTGGGATTTATCCCAGTAGTGCCAGTTGAGTTAACGCAAAAAGTAAATTAATGTGATATGGTTTATAAATAGAATAAAGGACAAAAACTACATGATCATCTCAATGGATCCAAAAAAAAGCATTTGACAAAATTCAATACCATTAGTGATCAAAATATTCAACAAACTAGGAAGAGAAGGCAACTTCATCAACCTGATAAAAAGCATCTATAAAAAATCCACAGCTAACCTCATACTCAATGGTGAAAACTGAATGCTCTTCCTCTAAGATCATAAACAAGACAAGGATGTCTGCTCATGCCACTTCTGTTCAACATTGTACTGGACATTCTAACCAGGGCAATTAGGCAAGAAAATCAAGTAAAAGCCATACAGATTGAAAAGGAAAAAGGAAAATTATCTTTATTTGCAGATGACCTGATCTTGTATACAGAAAATCCTAAGGAATTCACTAAAATAACCATTAGAACTAATAAACAAGTCTAACAAGGTTGCAGGATATAAGAATCAATTATATTTCTATACACTGGCAATGAACAATCTAAAAATGAAATTAAGAAATAATTCCACTTGCAATAGCATCAAAAAGAATAAAATAATTAGGAATAGGTATAGCAAAAGAAGTGCAAAACTTACAAAACATTGTTAAAAGTAATTAAAGAAGACTCAACTAAATGGAAAGACATCCATGTTCATAAAATAGAAG